TCGTCACCTCTCTCTACTCCGTGCTTCGCCGACGAACTGTAAATACAACCTCACGGTAATGGCAGCGTCGAGCGAATGGAGCGAAATTACAGTGCTGTCCTTAGGAAGCAATGGCCTGAGCCAATGGTTGACTCCGAGGAAAAGAGGGTAAAAGTGGGAAACGAAATGTTTACTAGTTTCCCGGCGATACGAAGGCGGTTATAGTAAGGGGAGCTGAGACATGATCCAGTGTGGCGCGGGTATCTGCAGTGCGGGGGAGCTGAGACACGTGGCGTCCTCTGCTCGTGTGGTTTGTGAGCCGTCGTGCTTTGAGCGGGACAGAGTTTCACACTATTCAAAATTGGAGCTAGGTAAAAATTCTAATTGAATAATCAACAATTGTAATCTAATTTTAAACCGAATAATTACGATTTTTTATATTGAAGAAACCAAACCACGTAAAAATAATAATGAAAATTTTGAATTTTTAATTGAATACTTTTAACAGTAAAAAAATTAAAATTGAATGGAATGGAATTCTATATAAAAATTAAATTATTATAAATTTTTACAACCAAATAACTATGACGTGCAGAGGAAGTACGTTCGGTTCGGTTATTAATTGAACCGAACCGAATAATTAATTGGTTATAAATTCTCAAAATCCGAAATGATCGAATTCGAACCAAACCGATTAAAATTTTATAACAGTTTGGTTATAAATTTTCAAAACCCGAAATACCTAAATCTGAACCTATCTGAACCGAACCGTATATACATCTCCATTTCTATATTTATTTATATATATTGTTAATTTAATCATTATTTTTTATTTTTTTTATTTTTTATTTTTTTCAATGTTTCTTTTATACACAAAGTTGAAAAGAATATTAGAAAAAAATGAGATTTATTTAGTCTTTTTATTTTGTGTTAAATTATGAATTGTTATAAAAACGAAGTAATATAGACAATTCGGATATTAGATCCTTAATTATAAACCGAAATCTATTCTATAGGAGAATGGAGAACAAGATAGCTCTTATTTCTTTCTTTTATGCATTTGAAACAACTCAAATAGTCTATTTATAAAAATTCCGAAATTATTGTTCATATATACGGTCGATGTGAACAATAATTGTATATATGAACATTAGATCGGTATGAACATTAACAATGGATTCCACCATAAATATATTTTATTTATAACATGAAGTTAAATCTTATTGATGATATTTTATATTATATTTTATTTAAATATTTTTATATTATAAATGATTCAAAAAATTTGCTAATACTACAACCAACCGAATCTTTATTAAATTATAATTTAAAACCGAAACGAACCAAATCCGAATCGAATAAAATTAAATAAAAATTTGATAAAAAAAATACCAAATATTAAAATGTGTCAAAAATACTTTAAATCTTGAATAAAAAGTAATTTTCGATTTTAAAAATTAAAATATTTTTTAACATTTATTTATCAAATTAAAAATCGATATATTTTTTGATACATTGGTATATCTTTATCGGATTTTCCCTATATATCATCTTAAAAGTACGAAGAGTAATTATCATTTGCATGGATAACATTAGATTAATATGGAGATAAAAGACCTTTAATAAAGATATGAATCTAACGATTCCTTTTTTCTTTTAATATCTTGAGAACTAACATAAACTCCGATGTTCTGCCCATAACTCTCCATATAGAGAGAGCACAAAATACCAAAACCACACACAGGCAAATCTTAACGATGCCTTGTTGCAACAAAAAACTACATCATCATCATCATAACCAGCATCATCATCATCATCATCATCATCATCAATATAAGCGACCAACACAATCGGAAGAACCACAATAACAATCCTTCCTCTTAATATTACCGTTGGAGTCGCGTACCTGACCAATGACGTAGTTGTAGTGATAAGTTAGCTCCTGAAGCGGAGGAATGTTGTCCATGGCGAAGAACATGACATGAGGAATCCTCGTATCGTTGTGATCGAACAGCACATTCTGAGCATACAGATTCGGCGAACAGCTATGGTTTATGAACCTCCCTACGTTCCCGTAACGAGCCGCATCGATCGTGAACCCGATGCTCTCGTCCACCGCCTGAACCGACGAGCTCGGATGCATCTTCGGCATCAGTTCGCTAATCCCATCCCGAAGCGAGTTATCGTAGTTATTCCCGATGTCGAATAGATATTCGTCGTTACCGGTTCGTCTTTCGGCTTCTTTGTCCTCGAGAAGCTCCCCTGCGTATTCGCAGATGAAGCTTCCGGACGGGATCGAGTTCAACGATCTCACACCCCATCCTCTTGACTCGGTTTTAAAAATCTCAAGCTGGAATTTGATTCCGCATTGAGTTACACGGTTGTAGCACGAAGGAGGGCACTTGCAAGTCGGGCCACACTCATAAACGAGAGGTATCGCCTCGACGATAGCCCCATCTCGATTGTAGGGTATCCCTCCACCGTTTTGAACCACACAAGAACATTTTCTTAGTTCCGAGCAACGGGTCGTGCAGTCGCAACCCTTTGGAGGAATTGGTCGACACCAGTCCGGGTACATCATACCGATCGTGTAGATGTTTTTTAAATGGGGTTGGATACCCCGAATACTCGAGTTCAATGATGGATATCCGAGTCTCGAGTATCCGAATTTCACGGAAACGAAAATCTCTCTTTCCCTTCCGAGATGTCGAGTTTGCACAAACCCTCCCTAAACTTGGACTTCTTTGATTTCTTGACAACTCTCCACGAGAGCTCCGGTTGTCCAGGCATCCGTTGAAGTTTGTACTTGAATACGAGCTTACCGTGAGGGCCAGTTTCTTGCCAGTACTTCTCCACAATATACAACCCATCGTAAACATAAGCCCTACCTTTTGCCTCGGAAGAATCAGCAACTTTCTGATTGCCTCTGATCACGCGGACAGGGTTCCTCCTGTGTGCACTGTTTGCCAGTGCGAGGTTTCCCCTTTCGAGTTTTTGGTTTTCGGGATCTTTGCCACCGTTCATCACGTTTCCGCCTTGACCCGTGTAGATCAAGACATTTGAATTGTCCAACTCGTCATCATACCCTCCAGAGGCTACGATACTTGTAGCGTATAATTCCCCACCTTCTTTAACGTAATCAATACCACCTTGACTCGGCCTATGGAGACCGATCATGTTTAGCTCCATCCTATACTGAAACTCATCACCAATCTCCACCCCAGGTACTGACCCGATAATTTGTTTGCCAGTGTTGACAAACTTGCCTTTCTCCCGAAGAACCTTGGCAGCTTGGTAATCTACTCTTTTAGTTCCGTTTTTTGATTCTCGAGGCTTCGTTTCTTCCCCTTGCAACAGTTTTCTACAAATTGCATGGAATAACCGTAGAGTTTCCTTTACTCTACTCCGACTCCCATTCATACCGCTTCCACCTCCGGGATTCGAAGGAGGAAGAACCACATCCACTTCCCTCATGACTTGTTCCTTTGCTTTCTTTCTATCCACTCCACTTTGTTTCGAAAATGCCACAATGCTTTTCTCAGGGCCAAATCTCCCGATGTCTTGTCCTGATGTTCTCTTGGAGAGAGACTGATCTGAAATCTCTCTTCTAAGACTTTGATCCGTATAAACCACAATATCCATCACCGTATTCTCTGTCGAATTCCCCGACCCGCTACTCATTTGTTTGTCATCGGCCTTTACTGGCACATCGTCATAGCCTGACTTTTCTCGAACCACTAAAGATTTTCTACGCGCATTCGTAGGGAAGTCTCTTATAGCAGAGACTTGTTTGCCAAGAGGATATTTCGCCTTCACGACCTTAGATGAATCAATGCTTTGCCTGTTTTTCGAACCCACCCCTTTTGGAGGCCTACGTGCATAAACAATACCTCTAGGACCACCATCTGGCAAGCACATGGTCAATGGTCGGGCATCCACCGGTTCAAGTATCATTGGATCACTTGAGTCCTCCTCCATACCAGTATCTTCTGGGGCAAAAACCGGTTTATCTGTTTCTACTACCATCAATTCAGACTTGTTCACTTGATCGAAATCCGTTCCTCCGCCCAATACAATATTCACACCGTTAGAAGGGACAATCTGCTTCTCATTGTTATATTCCAAGTTATCTCCCTGTTCTAGTCTTTCTACCAGAACTGAACCATCTGGTTCCTCGTTAGCGGAAAGCTCAACATCAGCATCAGAAGATGGAATGATATCATTCTCGCCAGCTTTCGTTTGAACTTCTTCTTGTCCTAATGGCAATCTGAATGGAGCAAAAGATGGTCCACAACCAGGTGGGAATTTTCTGACAGCAGAAACCCGACGCCGCTTGAACTTCAACTGGCCGTTGGAATATTGAACATGATAACAATAACAGATGATATTCAATTGGAAGCATACAAAGTTTAGTCAGCATATGTTTTTTTTCCTTATGCTTATGAGAAAATCAATAAAAAGGGGTCGGATGGAACACAGTTATTGAGATTAAAAAAAACTAACAACACTATAAACAGATCGATCGATACTGACCTTTTTACCCCTTTCAATGGCTTGATCTGTATCATCCATCATCCTGTACCCTTTGTCCATTAGCTCTTGATTGGTCATATCTGGGAGGGATGTCATTGAAACTTTTGAGTAAATATTCCAGGTATGTTCACATATAACAGAAGGACCACACCCCAAAATTCAATATGCATGTATTTGTTGGTAACAAGTTCCTTTAAAGCTTCTCATGACATATGACTACATATTCAGACTCCTCGGGGATCATGGATGGGAATAGATTGCCAAAATTCTAAAACCTTACTTGAAGCTAGTAAGACATTCTCTTCCATGTTCTCTTCTTCAGGCCCATCAAAAAGATTCACTCGCTTGTTATTATTAGTAAGGTTGGATGAGAATCTGTATAACCATCAATCAGTGCAATCACAAACATAAATACATGCAACAAGCCCATCTGCCAAACGATGTAGAAGAAACAATACAAGCCAGCTCTGATTCCACTTTGAACATAGGCATTACTTTCAACATCTGAAGGATAAGTAAGAGAATGCAGGATATGAAGAGAAGCAACTTGGGAAAACGGAGATTATATAGAGAATTCAGCAGCAAATTCGAGCAATCACAGATTTCTGAAAGTCTAACTTACTTCTTTTTAAGAGCAACATAAGAGTTCAGTTCCTTAACCTGCATAAAGACAACATTTTTTTATGGTATTAGATAACTTCAAAACATTTACCAGACAAAATACTGTAGGAGCCAACCCTAACATGTTTTTTCTTTTTGAGAAAGTCCTTAACGCTCGGAATAACGTTTTTGCTGCCCAGATCGACAACATGGTCCACTCCCATGGACTTCAAGAGCCGTACCTTCTCAGCCCCTCTTCACAAAAGACACAGAGAATAATAAGATCAGATGATTGATAGCCTTTTGCAGAAACATGGGTTTGTCCAAGAAACTAAACCACCATTGAAGACAGACAGGAAGAACTCGGATAGCGGCTCACCTGGCAACAGCAACGACAGTGACGACAAAACATGGTGCGATGCCAAAATCACAGAAAATCACCAGATACACGACGGTACATGACGCAAAAGAATCAGTCGAAATCGTAGGGATTTAGCAGGAAGAGATCGTGAATTCACAGGAACCTAAAACCCTAACCAAACAAAATCCGGGAAAAGAATAATTGATGTATTAATTTTCCGAGATACCAAACAGAAAACAAAGAATCCACGAGCAATCACAATAGCAGGCGAAGAGTAGGAAACATACCCGGGGGAAAATCACCGAACGAAGGATGAATGGAACGGCGGAGAAAACATATGGGATAGGTTAGAACTTAGAAGACGACGGGAAGGGAAAGGAAATTCGAAATTCGAACGGCGTATATAATTTCTGTGGAATGGCACGGCTGTAGTTATAGGCAACACCCAGGGCTAAAATTGGTAATTACAGAATGCAAGAGAAATAATTAAAAGTAAAATTGGGGGAAATAGTATATACGGCAATAACCGTTATCTCCAAGACTCAAGGATAGAATCAACAATTGATTAGATATTTTATGGGAAACTATGAATGTATATCTGTAGATGCACAAAATATTAAGAGACAGAGAAATATATGATTGTGCATCATATTAAAAAGTGTACATATATACTTTTTAAATTCCATTAAAAATTAATTTAGACTAAACATCAAATATTCCATTTTAATATATTTTCCATACCACATATTCCCAATAAAAAGAAAAAAAGAAAAAAAGAAGAAACAAATGAATCTTTTTCTAGATTAAACTCGAAAAATTCAAATATGATAAAATCTGATTCGGATACGATTTGGTTCTGATTCTGATACAATCTGATTTGGATACGATTTGATTTTGTATACTATTTTAATTCTAATATGATTTAATTTTGTTTTCAACATTTTTATTTGGTAAAACACCTAAAAAATTTCGAACTTGCAAAAAAAATATACAAATAAGTCTCCGACTTGCAAAAATGTCATTTAAATCTCGAATTTGAAACATGTGACTGAATAAAATCTCGAACTTGTAAATTGTTGATATAATAACTCGTTGACCGGTTTGACTAAAAATTCAGGCCATCGAAAATCAACGTAGGCTCGAAAGCTGATGTTAGTGTATCTACGTAACCAATTTTAAATGATTTTTTGCCACATCAGGATATTTTGGATCGAAATTTAATTCGGTTTGAGAGTAAATAAATCTGGTTTTCTAATTTAATAAACCAGTCTGAGAAAAAGAGGGTAAAATCCTTAATTTTATCTCTTTCCTAAACCCTAATCAGTTTATATAGAGTTTGTTTAGAATTTGATACGTTTTGATTTTTTACTTTTTGTGTCCAAGTTTGATTCTTAAGTATTGAGAAATATAAAAAATTTCAGTTTATAAAAAAGTTTAGATATTAGTGTGTTTACTATTTAGATTGGATTTATATATTCTTATCATTATGATAGGAAATATAAGTTTTATTGATAGAAAATTGTGTTGTATGTTTAAACTCATCCGGTTATCAATAATATAACAACGTTTTTATTCCGTAAATCTTGACATTAAATTTTGTGTGTAACGTCTACTTTTGAGGATTTATTGTAATGATATCAAAATGATGTTTACATCAACATCAACATCAACATCGCCTTAATCCCAAATTTTTTGGGGTCTAGCGTATGAATTCTTCTTTTTCACTCATTTCAGTTTTGTGTCATATCTTCCGAGATTTGCATCACATCCAAATCATTCCAAATGACTTGTTCCCAAACAAGTCTAGGCCTACCATTTTCTTGTTTCTTTACTTTTATCCTTATACTCTCTAATTTTCTAATTAGAGCATCGAACGGTCTACGTTTTACATGTCCAAACTATCTTAAGCATCGTTCCCGTAATTTCTCTTCTATGGTTACGTTTCTTAATTTCTCTCTAATACTCTCATTTTCGGATTCTGTTCATCCGTATATGTCCGCACATCCATCGCAACATCCTTATCTCGGCCATACACATTTTAGACACATGTTATCCTTTTGTCGTCCAACACTCACTACATTATGAAAATGATGTTTATATATATTCATAATATTTTAATGTATGTACAACAATATCTAAACATATTTTCATATAAATTTATCAAAATATTTATGAAATCTATTCTATACAAATCAACAGTTTTTTAAATGGGGTTGGATACCCCGAATACTCGAGTTCAATGATGGATATCCGAGTCTCGAGTATCCGAATTTCACGGAAACGAAAACGACATAATACTTTTGTAAAATCCGACAAAACAGATACCGAAACAACATGTACTGACATGCATAATCAACAAATAGCAAAGGCATCCGACAAGTGAATGAAAGGAAAGCTAAGGTTCTTTAAACATCACACTTCTTCAAGCACAGATTAATATACAGACGCATACATAAGCACACGTCCACATATATATCTATATATATATACAAGCAACCTCAGGCGGCAGAGGAAAATCATGTCGTGGATCTACGCAATATATATTGCATGGTCATGCAGATAATGTATATATATTGTAGTTAACATACATGATGATCCCAATAACCATCCCAATCTCGAGCCTTAACATAGGTGCATGCAGTGGCGGATCCAGAAAAAATTTATACCGGGGATACAATATTATATATATAATAAAAAAACTAATAAAATTGTATTATCATAAAAAAATATTTATATTTTACAACTGATTTCTACGAGTCTTCATTTTTTGAAATCTATCCATAATAGTTTCATTTGTAACTGTCTGAAATATATCTTTTTCGATGAAACAAACCAAACAGTCACTCAAAAATTGATCACCAATCCGGTTGCGCAAAGCTGTCTTCACAAAATTCATCGATTAAAAGCATCTCTCAACAGTCGCGGTAGCAATAGGCAAAATTAATGTCAATTTCAAAAGTCTGTATACCAATGGATATGAAATATGTTTCTTTCTTTCCACCATAAGACGAGCAAGATCTCCAAGATTAACCAAATTAGAAAATCTGTTATCTTCCATCAGATTGTCGAAGTAGATACTCAATTCATGTCGAAGAGATATTTGCTCCGAAAAACTGAAGTCATCTGGATAAAATCCAGCCAATTTCACCAGATTTGGTATGTTAAACTCACGAAATGAGTCAATAAGACTCAAAGCTGCCATACAGATGAGCAAATCTGAATTTACCTCGTCAAATCGATCATTAAATTCTCGAAGGTGGAAATCCATAACAATATAGAAACAATCCATCTGATAGTGATGCAAGTTGCTTATGTTGGGTTTTTTCCTTAACCTCCACATAATCTTCCTCCATATTGATTATTTCAATATCGTGTTTCTCACATAAAAAAGACACATTATCTAAAAGCAAATCCCAACCAACGTCTCTTTGTTGTTGTAATTGTCTCTTTGTAGATTTTACCAGCGAAATGACATTCAAGATGTCTTGATCTTTTCTCTGTAAAGTCATTGATAAATTATCTGTGAGTCCTAGAATGAGCAACATCAGCTGTAGATAGAACACAAAATCAAATGTGTAGAAATATTTGAGAAGACCATAGGCTTGACGTCTTTTAACAGCATTTGTATCGTCATTCTCAACATACTCTAACACCTCAATGACAGAAAACAACTCAACCAATCGCAACAGTGTTTTGTAATGAGATCCCCAACGAGTATTTCCAGGTCTCTGCAAAGTAATATCTTGATTCAACCCAGTTCCTGTATTAATCTCGCCATTATTAATTTTTTCGTTCACTTTTATTCTATGGCTTTCTCGAATCATGTCATTTCTTTTGCAAGAACCTCCAACCACATTCAATAAAAGTGAAATCATATCGAAAAAATTTCCAACATCAAAGAGTTCCTTTGCAATTGCTACAACAACCAATTGAAGTTGGTGAGCGAAACAATGGACATAATATGATGCTCTATTTTCTCTTGAAATCAACGATCTCAATCCATTAAATTCACCTTTCATATTGCTTGCTCCATCGTACCCTTGTCCTCTAACTTGTTTTAAGCTCAATCCATATTTAGCAAACAAGGAATCAATAGCAGACTTCAGAGATAAAGCAGATGTTTCTTTCACATGAATAAGCTCAATGAATATCTCTTTCACTATTCTGTCCTTATCAACAAAACGAAAAAACAACTGTCATCTGCTCCTTATCAGAAACATCACTAGACTCATCCACCAGTAACCCAAATACATCATGACCAATCTCCTGAATTATATCTTGGGTTATTTGTAAGGCAAAACATTGTGCAATATCTTTCTGTATTGTTGGAGAAACCATCTGACTATTTCCCGGAGCATTCTTCAAAATAACCTTACACAATATCATTTTGTTTTGCAGTATACTTCACAAGTTCCAGAAAATTTCCTTTATTATCAGAATTTTCTGACTCATCGTGACCTCGAAACGACAACCCTTGTTTCAACAAAAATCTAGAAGAACTAATCGATGCATTCAACCGAATACGATACTCGTTTCTCATAATATCACTTTGCTTCTGCATAGCATGCACGATAGATTGATCTTGTCTCATCAAATCATCACATTTCTTTCGTGCATTATTATGAAAACTATTAACATCACCCACATGAATACTCAATCTCTCGGTCTTGTTCCAACTAGAAAACCCATCTGTCACAAAAGCATCATTCTCAACTTGTTCTCTAAACAAGTAACAACACAAACAAAATGTTCCATCTTTCTTTATATTATACTCTAATCAATCAGCGTATTGGTCAAACCAGACTGGATTAAATCGTCTTAATTTATTCCCTACATCTTCTTTGGAAAGTCATGATCACGTGGTTGACAAGGTCTCCTAATCAAATATTTGCGTCGTATCTCATCTCTTTGATTAGGATGATACTCTAATTTTTTTTTTCTATCAGCCGGATCCGAAGGCAAATCATGTAAATCAATTTGCTCAGGTATTGAGGGCCTAACTTGAGAATTTGATGTATTGCTGATTGGAGCTTTACCTATATCTTGAGATATCGATGCAAAATTTCTCTTGAGAAATTTATCCATTGATTTCTCTGTGAAATCAAAAATAAAATTGAATAAATATATATAACAATAAATTTACAAATATGATCAAAACATAGAAATCGAAGAACAAATAAAAAAATAAAAAATACTTCAGAAAAAATTATAACACTTACATACCTTTTAATTTGGTTGTTCTTTGTTTTTTATATGATTAAGTATTAGATTTAGGGATTTTTTTAGAGAATTGAGAAAGAGATGGAAGATTCAAAAAATAGATGAAAACAAAGAGAAAGAGAAACAATAGAGACGACGATTTTTATAATTGTGTTTTTGCAAAGTAATCTGGCATTAGAAAACCTATCAAAGTATAATTAGAAAAAGATTTTAAATTAAAAAAGATAAAACAAAAAGTAAAAAATATAGAGACTGCACTCACTTAAATACATACTAAGCTAATCTTTTATACAAAAAACGTATAATAAAAAAAGGAGGAGGGGACCCACATAAAAAACTAACGGGATACTCTCTTAAACTTTTAAAAAGTATAAATATATTAGTGTTTTTTTTTGTTTTTTTGAGTGGGGTCATGTGGCCCACTACTCTGCATATACATCCGCCACTTGGTGCATGGGATGATAAAAGACTTTCTCATGGAGATCTTTAAATCATGTTGCAGATCTACGTTCTTGCAGTTGCAGTAAATATATATAGGGTGTCAATTTATGTCCGAGGTACGAAGTTCAACCCGAAATTAGCGGACTTTGGATTTAAGTTTTTTTGTTCGAAAAAAATCGGATTTTTGGATCGGACTCAAATCAAATTTCGGGCCGACCCGAAAGTCCGATATTTGTTTTTAGAAAATAAAAAATAACTTTTACAAAGGAAATTGTGTGAGCTGGACCGGTCTAACCCGACCCGATCTAAACCCGGAATATATAAGGTCGGACTTTGGATTTAGTTGCATGGACTGAAAAAAAAATCGGGTCGGTCTGAATCCGAACTCAAAACCTTCGAACCGAATACGAGCTCGGATCGAGGCGAACCCGAACAGGTCGATTGACACCCCTATAATACATACATACATACACGATCCAAAAAGTATTCCCCTCTCGATCTTTGAAATGGTGGATGTTATATTATAGATATTGCCTTTCGCATGTGTTCCCCTCTTGGTTAGATCATAAATAATCTCTTGCCAATATATTTTTTTGTTTTCCTTTTGAGATTTCTTATCTTTCGTGCGTGGATTGAAACTTTTTAGTTTATTGTTTAATGTTTATTTAATATCAGGCTTTCTTCACTTTAAATTATAGTTATGGCTTTCGTTTCCTTGATTTTTTTTCCATATAGTTATGTATTTGTCATAAGTTTCCTGATTTTATCACCATTTTTTATTTTAATATATTATATACTTGATGATAAATATATGCTACATTTTAAACAGTTCAAATGGGATCAAATAAATATTTAGAATATAAATCAAGCATAGGATATTTTTTTGTATATTTATTTTTATCAAATGGATTATCTTGTTAATTAATATTATAATTTTTTTGGTATATATTCAGTTCACATTTTAACCAAAAAAATATATGCATGAACGATGGATCCGAAAGTCAACTGCTAAATCGATATGAAAGTTTGACCAAAGAAGTCGGGGGTATATAACAGCAGTGGCGAATCCCCGCCAAAGCCACCTCCCATCATCATTAGCCGGCCTCGGTCCCGTGGTGCTTCCATGGCGCTGAAATTCCACCAGCAGATCATCTCAGACCTTCTCGAGGACTCCAATGGAGGACTCGTCATCCTCTCCTCCGGCCTCTCCCTCCCCAAGCTCATCGCTTCTCTCCTCCTCCTCCACTCTCCGTCGCAGGGCACTGTCCTCCTCCTCTCCCCCTCCGCTCACTCCCTCAAGTCCAGGATCCTCCACTACCTGTCCTCCGCTTCCACCGATTCCGTCGACGGAGATCCATCTCTTCCGTCGGAGATCACGGCGGATCTCCCGGCGCACCACCGCCACTCCCTCTACTCCTCGGGCCGCCCTTTCTTCATCACGCCGCGGATCCTCATCGTTGATCTCCTGATGCAGCGGCTTCCGGCGTCCCTGCTCGCCGGAATCATCATCCTCAACGCTCATTCTCTTGCCGAGACCTCCACTGAGGCCTTCATAGTTCGAATCGTCAAAACCCTAAATCGCTCCGCGTATGTCCGCGCCTTCTCCGACAGGCCCCAAGCCATGGTCGCCGGATTCGCCAAGACCGAGCGAACAATGCGCGCTCTTTTCCTCCGCCGTCTTCACCTATGGCCCAGGTCCTCTTCTCGTTCCTTTTCCTTCTCCTCCTAAGTACACAGTTCACTTTTTGCAAATGTAACTAGGACAGGGCAAAGCCCTTGTTATCAGGTGTCATCTAGGTTTTCTTCTGGACCAGGTTTCAGTTGGATGTGTCTCAGGAGTTGGATCGAGAACCGCCTGAGGTTGTTGATATAAGGGTTCCCATGTCGAAGTATATGGTCGGAATTCAGAAAGCGATCGTTGAAGTCATGGACGCCTGCTTGAAGGAGATGAGAAAGACTAACAAGGTTGATGTGGAGGATTTGACAGTGGAGAATGGGCTCTTCAAGTCATTTGATGAGATCGTGAGGAGACAGCTCGACCCCATTTGGCACACACTGGGGAAAAGGACCAAACAGCTAGTGTCGGATCTGAAGACACTAAGGAAATTGCTGGATTATCTTATTAGGTATAATCATCTCTATTTGCTTCAGTTTGATTTGATTCTTGTTCTAGCCTAAATGTTAATGTTCCACTTTCTTGTTGGTTTAATAGGCAGCTTCTTAGTTCAGAACCTGTGTAGTTGTATGGTCAAAGCAGAAATTTTGAGACTTGATTACTGTGTCTATGCGACAATCACTCGCATTTAACAAATTCATTGTTTCAGTTTACAGCTATTCTCTATGACAAATTTTCAATTGTTGGTGGTGAACATTCTGCAGATTTAACAACAATCCATTGTTTTGTTTATGGGACTATGGGTTTCTGTGTAGGTATGATGCTGTGAGCTATCTGAAGTATTTGGATACACTCAGAGTGTCAGAAAGCTTTCGATCTGTTTGGTTATTTGCTGAGGCCAGCTATAAAATTTTCGATTATGCAAAAAAACGCGTTTATCGTCTCAGTATGGCAAATGATGTCAAATCAGATGAGCAGGTTAAGAATGTAACAGGGAAAAAGAGGAAGTCGAAGGGAGGGGGAAATAGCAAAGAAGCGGGTACAGAAATGTTTTCAATTGTCTTATGTTCTTCTCCTTACAAACAAGATCAAACTGGTTGTGTCTAATGACTTTCATGTAACGTTTATTTCTTTGTTAAATGGGCTTGGAGCAGTTGATGGGACGGCGAAAAGTAATACCTCTGGCGGTGTTCTTCTTGAAGAAATCCTGGAAGAGGCACCAAAGTGGAAAGTCTTACGTGTGAGTGAGTGAGTTCCAGTGTCTATGTTGTTTCTGTTATGGTTGGTTTTAGTTGCAGAAATTGTTTGAAATAGTGACAATAACTCTGTTTGATTTTTGGTTTAATTCTCTTTGATTTTTTTATTTTTTTTTGCTGCACTTTATGCTTGACCAGATGATTTCCCATGTTAATTTGCAAGCGTTTGTTTTTACATACTGGTAGTGCACTTAATTACTGCAGGAGGTTCTAGAAGAGGCACAAGAAGAAAGACAAAAGCAGACTCTGTCCGGAGAAGACAACAGTGACGACAAAGACAACAATGGCATTGTTCTTGTAGCGTGCAAGGATGAACGCTCATGCATGCAGCTTGAAGATTGCATCACTAACACTCCTCAAAAGGTGTCTGTGAGATGCATTCTGTTATAATATTAGACGATGCATTAGAAATCCATAAGAACCCAATTCATACTTATGGCTAAACCAGTTTTCATGAAAGAACTGAACCTTAAAAACTTTAAGCTGTACAGAAAAAAACACATAAATTGGTTAACACGATACCTAAGAGTAACATATTCAATACTCTTGATGTTATTTTCGTGTTCTTGTGCAGGTAATGCGGGAAGAATGGGAGAAATATTTGTTAAGCAAAATTGAGCTGCGGACTGTGCAGACACCGCAAAAACAGAAGAAGAAACAGAAGGTTCCAAAGGGTTTCGGGATTCTAGACGGAGTCGTCCCTGTAACGACTATGCAGAATACAGAGCCTAGCAGTGTTTGTAGACAAGAAGATGAGGTTTTGAAGGCTGCTGCCGCTAAGATAAAAAACCTAGGAAAGACAAAAGACTTGGCTTTAGGAGATAACAAGGCAGAGATTCAAATCGATAAGACTGGCCATCAAACCAAAGGAAAGGATAAAATAAAGAACAAAAAGGGCTCATCAAGATCCAGAAGAGGTAGTAGCAATGGAAAAAACGCAATGGAGGATGAAGCTGAAAGGTTATCAGGTTCAGAGACTGAAGACAAAGCTAGTGAACCTAACACATCGCGTGCTCCAGAAGTGGACGCTATTCACTCTAGCAACCCTAAGCAGATACCTCCAGTGTGTTTTTATGCCTTAGAAAGTGATCAGCCTATTCTCGAAACCCTGAAGCCATCTGTGATTATTGTTTACCATCCCGACATGTCTTTTGTCAGAGAAATCGAGGTTTACAAATCTGAAAACCCTCGGAAACAGGTGAAAGTTTATTTCCTTTTTTACGACGAGTCTATGGAGGTGCAGAAGTTCGAGGCGAGCATTCGCAGGGAGAACAGCGCATTTGAGTCGTTGATAAGGCAGAAGTCTATGATGATGATTCCGGTCGATCAGGTTTGAAACTCTTGCCTTCCTTTGGCGTGAATATTTTCTTTTGAAACTCTTGCCTTTCTTTGATGTGAATACTTTCTTTTTTCAGAGAACTTGGTACGAGATAAATTTGAAACGGGAACCTTCATCATTAAACAATAAGCTGGAAATTAGAAATGATGCAAACTAAAAGCAGGATTTCAACCAAAATATACTCTTTTTTTTGTATTCCTTTCTCGAGAAGATCTCTGTCTGCTTGTTTTTTTTACAATTCCTCTGTTATAACTTGTGATCAGGATGGGGTTTGCATGGGTTTAAGTTCATCCACAGATCTCCCAGCTTCTAGTTCCCAAAACTCACTAACCCGAAAAGCGGGCGGAAGAAAGGAAACTGAGAAAGAAACACAGGTTCGTTTTTTCGTTCGGGGTTTTCAGACCCCAACCTGTTTTCCAAGAAAGTTGTAATATGAAAAGCTTGTCAGCTGTTTTTCCAGGTCATAGTTGACATGAGGGAGTTCATGAGCAGCTTACCTAACGTTCTTCACCAAAAGGGCATGCGGATAATACCCATCACACTAGAGGTTGGAGACTATATTCTCTCGCCGTCGATATGTGTGGAGAGAAAGAGCATTCAGGATCTTTTCATGAGCTTCACTTCGGGCCGTTTATTCCACCAAGTTGAAATGATGGCTCGATATTACAGAATACCTGTTCTTCTCATCGAGTTCTCCCAAGACAAGAGTTTCTCCTTTCAGGTGAATCCTTTTGCGTTATAAATGTATTTAGGTTCTCATTACAGCTGTATTTAGATTCGTTTTCTCCGCTCGATCCTGCATGACGAATGAATATTGAATTCCCTGACTGGCTCTTGTATCGATTTGATTTTAATTTTGCAGTCTGCAAGTGATATATCGGACGATGTCACACCGAACAGCATAATATCGAAGCTGTCTCTGCTGGTACTGCATTTCCCACGGTTACGGATTATATGGTCCCGAAGTCTACATGCAACAGCCGAAATCTTCACGGCCTTAAAGGCCAATCAGGACGAACCAGACGAGGCCAAAGCCACAAGGGTCGGTGTCCCCTCAGAAGAGGGCTTCATAGAAAACGACGTTAGGTAACTGAAAAAAAAGCCGATTTCCTCTTTCGCTTCATCACTAGAAAACATTGTCTAAAAACCGAATCTTGTAATCGAAAAAAAAACTCACATTCTTGGACCGACTGTTGTAAACTTGTTTTCGACCGCAGGGCCGAGAACTACAATACGTCGGCGGTGGAGATGTTGCGTCGGCTTCCGGGGGTAACGGATGCGAATTACAGGGCAATAACGGAGGGATGCAAGAACATGGCCGAGCTCGTGACGCTGCCAGTAGAAAGATTAGAGGAGCTGATGGGTGGTCATAAGGCTGCTCGGACCCTCCGAGAGTTTCTGGACGCCAAGTACCCAACTCTCCTTTAGTTTCTCTTCTATTTTATCCAACATTGTCTTATTACACTATTCATCACCTTGTCTTGTCCATCATTTTCATTGATCTTTTTAGGAGTTAATTTTTCTTTTTTTTAAAAAAAAAACTGATGTATTTCGTCGATTTGATTGTTACTGTTGTATCCTTGGCTAAAGTCTGATACTGGAACCCGTGAAAATTCCAAAAATTTCGTTAACTTAAAGTTCAATATATACACAAAATATATCTAAATACTATTGTAAATGTATTTAAAATATGTATTCAAAGCAAAATTCGTGTTCAAGTTTCTTGACTTTATCACACGGTCCATTGGTGATCGGATTTCAGATATCCGCATTCGGATACCAAAAACCCGCGACGCATCCGACCGTGGAAAACGTCACCGCTCAGCGGCTGATATTACATCATTGTCCTCGTCCGCATGTCATTATTACGAAAGAGCCACTGTCTTCTGTCCATTGATTTTTAGATCCATCGGTTCCGGTTCAGGGTTATTAAAATGAGCCGCCCAATATAATTACCCGACCCGGCCCATTGTTATACTAATTTCTGTTCTTCTCTTCACTAAAAATTCAATACAAATTACAGTTTCTGACTTTTAGAAATTTTGGAAAACAATGGCAAGTAGAGGGCAGGGGCTATGGGTTAACGTCAGGTTCAGGTTACATCATCACCATCATCATCATCATCATCATCTACAGCAGTGGACTCCGATTCACGTCTTTGTACAGCAAATACCGAGATCGGGTTTTCCCAAGTGCGGCATACCTGAAATAACCGCCACAGAAACAGAAGGCAGTTCCGAGATTTGAGCTTCAGCCTAGATGCTAAATAGGGACTGGATAAAGAAGTTGCATTGTCTGTGAAATTCAAGAATTGCCATTTTCTTACCATTGAGGAACAAAAGGAGCCATCCATATAACATCACCAGCTTGAACTGGGTACCTATACATACATACATATATATATATATATTCAAACCCAAATTATGACATCATAAGATGACAACTTTGAATGAATGGATTACCAGCTATCACCCAAACGATAAACGCCTTGGCCCTCCAGAAGCAACAAACCATGTTGGTTATAGTGAACCTCCTGCAAATATTAACGACCCGACGATAATCAAAACGGGACCAAAGAGAAGAAAAGGTTAAGCTTTTCATGATTCTAAGCAGTTGCTTACCTTCACATTGAGAAACTCCCCAGGCTGAAAATCCATAATCTGCAAAGATAATATTACCTTTTTGGTCTCAATGAAAGCAAAGGAACTTAAATACGCGAACACTGGAAGAAGATGTAGTCTGTATCCGCAACACATTAGATTATAGCCACAAGCGGAAATTCGGGGAGAAAGAAAACAGTAGATTATAACCATAAAGCTTACATGGATATTAAAGTCATAAGGTAAAGATGCCGGAAGAAGCTTCCTCAGTTCAAACACCTGTTTATGACGAAAAGATGATTTTAGAATAAAACATGAAGGAAAAAAGGGTAATGAAAGAGTTCTAACACTAACCTCACCGGGAGTTTCGAGAAGTGGCTGCTTGTCTGTTGACCCGACAATAAGCTCTGTGGCATGACTCGGTAGAAACTCGTACCTAATATCATGCTAGTTAACATTGTTTGAAAATATCATGAATGGTAAATGAAGCTCCCAAGACCGAGTCAGGGAGAAGAGTCAAAACCTCCGCTCGAACACAACAAGAGTTGCAGACCCATCACAGTTCAGGGAATGATCAAAGTTTGGAGGCACGTATGCAAATGAATCAACCTGCACAAAAAAATATCAGCTTGGACTTACAAAAAGAAATAAAAAAATGTCAGTGAATCATGAAAGCCATGCGAAAACGAAGCAAAACAGCCAGTTTTAGAACAGATATAGATTGATATCGACTTAGAATCTAGAGAAACTGTCAGAAAAATCAGTAAAATAGAATCTTTCAGTTCATTGTTTTGTCATACCGTCAATTTCTTTATGGTATCTGATGAGTTAGCAAGTGTCACAGCGCCCTCAACCACGAATATGAAGCTTGAAGAAGATTCAGCATCTTGAAAGAGTTAGAAGAAAATAGAGATGATAATTAAACTCGGATGTCAAGTTAGAAGAATACCGCTCTACGTCGTGTGGTGGTAGACCTGATTTTGAAATGTCTGCACAAAACAGAGCACTGCAAATTTTAAGACCATATCCATTGTAGGAAAGGTGAAACCAAGGTTATGATGTTCATCAATCATGAGGGACAAGGATTCAACCTTTCATTTTCGCAAAGTACATGACAAAATGGGAGCCCATTGCCGGGGTGATCAAATATGCCCCCAACGCGTTTGTCCTGTCAAATTGGTTACAGATTAGAGCAAAAGTTTTTTGACTTTTGTAACTGTGGAAATAGCGTAAGTTGCATGATGCGTACCAATCGGGTAATGGGCTGAAAACGTGACTTTCGGGTGTTATTACAGCATGATCCGACTTGTAAACACTTCTTGTGAACCCCGGCAAATCTACCAAACAATAGAATCTGTTCAGCCTAAGAAACTTATAACACCAAGTTTAACTCGAAATGCCCTTAGGCGCTTATCAGAAACACAATCATCTTGGAAGAGTTTACATGTTCCAAACGCTATCAGAAAAAAACCATCTACAACTCAAAGGGACACTTATCAGAAAGACAGTCATATATAGTACAATGTTTTGCACTAAACTCAAGTTTAGTGACACTGAGCTCGAAAACCTCTCAAGTGAAACATAAATCTAAGTAGCCAACTGATCTATGAACCTTAATCAATACCAATAAATCAAAAATCAGTTCTTTGATTCAAGAACTCGCTTACAAGTTGACCCTAAAACGAAAATCGAAGTTAAACCAGTAAAAGTACGAACTCCTACTAACATCAAGCTAGAAATGTCACCTAATCCCCGCAGAAGAATAATCAAACGATAAAGTCCCAAACTTTCGTTTTGCAAGGGCGGTGAAAACATCTTAACTGGGTAGAAATACACGATTCAGGAAAAAAAACAATGCGAAATGGATCCATCGAACCTTGGAGATGTAAAGGAGAGAGTGTCGGGTTCGTGACTTTCCAGTACATGGGTTTCGACTTCTCGTCCGATTCTGCGATCGGCGGCGCAGAACAGAACCCATCATCGCTTGTCGAAGCCTTAACCAAACCTTTTAAAGGCGAAAACGAACGAGACAATCCATGATTAATTCCCGAGAAAAGCCCAGAAATTTCTGAAGAATCTGAGATTAATTTACTCACCGAAGATGATGATTGAGAGTATGGGAAGTAATCGCATTTTTTGTTCTTGGGGATGATTAATGGCTTCCGAGATTTGAGAGAGTTTCAGTGCTCTATTCCGATAGTGTTCTTGTTCACAGAAATGAGAGAGAACACGACAGAGGTTCTATTCTGGGGTGGTTGGTAGCCTCGTGAATAGGTAATATTACTCAAATAACCCACGCAGCAATTTCAATTTCAGTCTATACCACCGAAAAAAAAAAAATTTGCGACCTTATTACGACTAATATATAACTAATATAAAGACTAATAAACTACTTTTATTATAGTTGTATATTAGTTATATATTAGTCGTAATAAGGTCGCAAATTTTTTTTTTTTTTCGGTGTTGTACCCTGAAATTGCTGCGAACCCAAGTGGTTTAGTAGGGTTAAATCCCCTCGTGAATATAATTTTAAAATGTTTTAAAAAAAATCGTGATCTTTGGGGGGTTTTGTGTTAATAACAAAGATAATGCTCAAATTATATTTCTAATAGAATATGGGGACTAATCTGTAAACTAATTGAAGAGGTTCAACCACTCCTCGCCGTTTTCTGCTCATCGTTGAGAACACCACGCCGTTTTCAATCGTCATCCACATACTTCTTCCGGCTGTCAAACGGCGACGCGTTCCCCCGGTTATTACGGTTTTGACGTCTCTCTCTCTCTCTGCAACAAGCAAGAGAACGGCTGCGGCGACGGTGAAGGCGAAGCCGACGCTCTACGTCAGCGACAATATGGTATTCTTCACGGAGATCTAACCGTAGATGTCCTTCTTCTTCCGTCCTCGTGCTTCTCTCTCGACCAGTTTCTTCTCCGCGTTCACCGATGGAAGCATCTCCTGTTATTTCTGCGGCATCTCCGATAGAATTCGTTCGATCCGGCATATCTGTCCAGTTCCAAGCCTAAGCGTTGTGTCGTCATTACGGTACTTCAATTCATGCCAATGTCGCTTCTCTTTTAGCTACTTTGCACACAATTAGGATTTTGGAATCGCTGTTTTCTCGGCTTGAAGCGGATAGCTGGCTTAGTTAATTAGTGAATTATCACGAGATGTGAGGGGAAGACTATCTTGAACATGTCATATGATCAAACCGTTCGTTTGATGCTTCATGATTATTTCTAGAATTGGGTTTGAAGCTTAGAGAGTGTACTTCTGGAGTAAATTATCGTGGGCTAGTTGGTAACTTGGTGAGATGACAAAGAAGTTATCTGTTCGTCACTTTCCTGCTAAAGATGTGTCCGAGTACTGGTAATTGAGTCAAGAACAAAACTCCATCAATCTCTCTATCATTTGTATTGGGTTTCTCGAACATTTGGTAAATTTAAGGTTTTAAGCAAAGAACTGAGTATGCAATCCACTATTTTCTCTTTAGCTCCCATATGTCTTAGAGTTTTCAACTTTTGGTGGCATTTTTTTCCCTATGAACCTCATTTTCTTACTCATCTTAGCACGCATCCCTCTGTCAACAGGTTATCCTTTCTCAAGGGGATCTATAACTGAACACCTCCTCCTGATCTGGCATCTTACTTGTTCGAAAGCCGAATTGTTTAGTTGGTGATTTCTCTCGTTCTTTCAGTTATCGAGTTGATGTTAACAGAGTTTCTTTATCTTTAATTTGTTGATGCGGTGGGAGAAGGCCATTTACCTACATATAAACTCAACATGAGTCATCAACATCGCCTTAATCCCAAATTTATTTGGGGTCGGACGAATGAATTCTTCGTCTCCACTCATTTCGGTTTTGAGTAACCTAGGTTATTTTCACTGAAAAATTCTTTGGGCACACCTGCTGAACTGTATGCGACGAATATATGACTGGTTTGGTTTAAATAAAGGAGTAAATGCATATAATTGATTAGCTGGTGCTTGAAAACATTTTAAGAACAGCCATCTTCTTCCCATTTCAGGGTGGTGATAAGCTGGGCTATGAGAGTGAGGATTTGGCAGTCTATGATGCCACGAGGTTGACAATCTTTGTCCTCTCTGTAAATTACTTCTTTCTCTTTATCGTATTTGGGAGGAAGAGTTTATCATCTATGACTAGAGGTTTAAATCCTGTGACTGCTTATAATTTTATATATCCCATTGAGGCCATTGAATATGGTGTCGTAGATAAGGTAAGGCAGAGAAGAGCTACTCTGCTGATCTTTTTTTTTTTTGTTCTGAAGATCCTTTTGTAAAGAACGAAGCAGGTAAGATAGTGGAGTTGTTTCAGAATCTGAACACATTATGGCGTCCTGATCCCCAGGTAAAGTGAATTTACTGGTTTTCGTTCTCCACTATAGCATATTCATGATGGTGTTGCTGCTTTTTGGAACATTGATCTCATACCCTATAATCACTCATATCTAATAGAATTCAAACACCTTACACTCTAGGGGGCATATTCTGGAACTAGCGAGTAGATTCTTGTCCTGTCCATTTCTGGCCAATTGTCCAAAGACTGGTCTTTTACTAGCAAAGAGGCACCTGTAAAAAGCTTGATCATTGCATCAGTATACAGATCAGCTAGAATTGAGACCCATCAAAACGTGGTGATGCATATTTTAAGCCTATATGTAAGTGCTCCAGTGCCTCGTGTCTTCCAGTTTTGCTTGCATAAACCCTGTCCCACAGTTTCAAAATAGTCACTTCCCCATCTTCCTCTATTGCTTCGGACCCATATTTAGTTAGTGGTATCATTTTCATTGCCCATTATAACAGCCTTCTCTAGCATCATCCGACACATGTCCAAGGATTTTGCATGCTCATTTGAACCTTTTTTTAGTCCTAAATTCGTGGTTTTTGTACCTTATTTAATCTCATGCTCGTATTTTTGTTTTTTATATAAATTTAGACATATTAGACTGCGATTTTGATGATAGGATATAGATACTCCATGGTTTTTCAGCTTTTATGTTACTTTCTTTGCACAAACTAGGGGACATTTCGTTTCTCAATCAAAATTTTGCTCGTGTTTAAGTAGGCACAGAATTGCAAGTTCATATAAACCGGTTAGTGTGGGATTATATAGACATGAGTCGGGCTTAAACACACTTTTTTGTTGGCACACGAGAGTTATAAAAATTCAAGGGCTGTTAGACCGGTAAGGGATGGGCAAAGCTCTTATCAAGGTTCAAGTCTCCACTTAAGGAGAGACATTCAGCTGGACCTCTTCGGTCCTTTGGAAGCTGTAGTTGGATCGAAAGCACGGTGAACCTGCAGATTATAAAACAAAACTTTCTTTTTTTGAATCGCGAGTGATTTACTGTTTGTCTGGTAAATGGCAAGGAATTGATTGTTTGTATCGGTTTTGGTCGGATGATGCAGAGTTGAACTGAACCATATGCATACAGATACGGAAAGAACCAATGAGGTAACATCATTGAACGTATGTTTTTCGTATATTTGATGTCTTTAGGGTATCTCAGGAACAGAGATTGGTCTTTTTTTGGGCTCGGTTTGGTCTGAATTATATTGTGTATATTATAATCAGGTTGTCGTGTATATATATATATATATATATAATTGGACCGTAGGTTGAGGTTTATGTAGGCCATAGAAGAGCAAGAACTCACCAACCCCAATATCTTCGGCCTTCTATTAAAAACTCACACTTGGAACTTGGAAGTGGATCACAACCCCCTAGTCTTTATTTCTTTATTTATTTTGGTAATACGTGATTTAATAGCATTTTTGAGATATAGATTACTCTATGATTCTTTTGTGCTATGTATTATTATTATTATTATTATTATTATTATTATTATATAATGATGATCAATTTTCTTTATATTACTTCTGGTTTTATAAAAAAAAAAGTTTTTAGAAAGCATTGTATGCAACAGGAAGTGGGTTGCAGCCAAACACAACAATGCACTTTTGGTTGGTTTATTCAAATGTTATTGGTCCTCTTGTCATCTTTTTTTTTTTTTTAAATCACTTCACTAATCATTTGTTCTCGAGAAAGAGGGCTGCGGATACTATTGTAAGATTTTTTTTCTATACAAAATATCTTCCAATCAAGGACGTAAATCCTGTAAAAAACAATTTAGTTTTTTTTTATTAACGTATACTTACCTTTGCAAACATTTAGGGTAGTTTATTTTAGGGGTGGTCATTTCGGTTATTAACCGAATAACCGAGCCGAACCGAATAAGATATAACTGTATCCGAACCGAACCCGACATCAAAACCGAACGGTTATGATTTCCTTAAACTCGAAAAACCGAAACCGAAACCGAAACCGAACCGAATAAAAAATAACCGAAAAAACCGAGAGAATAACCGACATTTTCTTTGGAAAATTGAACGTTTTACCAAAACCGAACCGAATCTGAACCGAAAAACAACCGAACCGAATCAGAATTTATATAAAAACTGAATGGTTATAGTTTTTCTATAACCGAAATAACTGAACTCGAATATAACCGAACCGAACCCGAACCGAAATCCGAATTGGCCACCCCTAGTTTATTTGAACTCGAGTCAAATAGAATAAAATAATAATTTAAAAAATCGATTTTCTTTATGCACAAAATTGCGTCACCGCTAGCTCTAGATGACCAAACAATCTCACAATTTCGATGATATCATTGGGGTCCCATATATGTTTATATATGGCTAAGTTTTAGAATTGCAAATTTTACATTTAAGCAATCATAGAAACTATAGGGTAAAAACAAAAAATCAAGTCGGCAACATTGACAATGAAGAGTTAAAAATACCTAAAAAAGGTGACATGACAAGAACACGCTTAAGATATTCTATTGGAGGTCGTTCATTTACTAAATAAATTGATAATCATCAACCTCCTTCCCACTACATCATCATATCTACAATCACGAGGTCCTACACTGTTTTAGATATGTGTGTGTATATATATATATATATATTAGTTAACTTGCTGATAGTTTGCTCCCCTCATCATGATTTTTTTTAAATTCAGAAATTTATCGAATATTTGATCTAATTAGATCTCTAAAAAAAACTATAAAAATTCATTTGAATATTTCTCCCCAAATATAGATTCGAATCGTGATTGTTAAATGAATTTTATTCATTTTCTTACCAATTGAACCACCAATCATAGATACCTCGTCGTCGTGAATCTCCTCTCATTTTCACCTTTGTAAAGACCATAGATTCCAAATTAACATTTACTTGCTTAGAGCATGTAACAAAAATAGACATCATATATAGTTTTCGATTTACTTCAACAAATCTATGCAGTGCCCAATATATATGTAGATTATGTTAATAAAACTTTATATTAATATGGGTATTGCATGTACACGTAATCACTAATACAAGTTGAATAACAATTTTTTTCCCCAAGGGGAAGAAAATAATAATTATATTATAATATCGGCTTCAACTATAAATACTCCATGTAGCCTTTATCGGCATTTGTGTGCTTCTCAAACAATTCCTTTTGCTGTCAGTCACTTGTAAAAAAAAAGAGGGAGAGAAAGTTTGAGTAGAAACAGTAATTAATAGATAACGATGAAGAATTTTCACATTTTACTTATTCAAGTCCTGTTTTTACCGATGCTTTGTCACTCCGAAGACTTCGTGTGGTCGAGAGCTACTTATTACGGCAGTCCTGATTGCAAAGGGAACCCTCGTAAGTCACACTGTCATTTTTTTTTAATTTATTAAATATTCATTACATAAAGGTAAAATCACGATATTATCAACTACCAACTTTATAGATGAATACGTAAATTTTAAAATTTTCAGAAAATATACGAATACTCTCGGTTCGAATAATGAATTTTATAAGAAATCTGAAAAATATGCGAAATTTTACAAATACTACAAAAAAAAAAAACATCAAATGCCCTATAATATTTTGGCAGTATGTAAAAAAATTAATGATTTTTAATGGGAGTTGGGAAACGTTAGCTTGCTTTTTTTTTTTGGAAATTTTAAAATTTGTATATTAATTATAACAAATCTCTACATTTATATTAGATTTTCACTTCGATAAAAATTTCATAAACATATAAATAAATTTATAAAAAAAAAAACGAATCGTAGGAGGGGCATGTGGGTATGGAGACTATGGGAGAGAAATAAACGATGGCCAAGTGAGTGCTGTCTCTTGGCGTCTATGGAACAACGGTTTCTGTTCTCTCTCTCTCTCTCTCTCTCTCTCTCTATATATATATATATATATATATATATATATATAATCAAACTATAATAAAAATTATATATATATATATATATGTATATTGTTGATAGGGGTATAAAACAGGTCGGCCTAGCCCCAATCCAGTCCGACTCATTTCGATCTGAATAACATTTAGTCTAGCCTAATCCGATCCGTTTTTTAGCGAGCCATAAATATATCTACTGGTCTTGGTCGGGGAGCCAAACAAGTCAGCCCGTGAGTCAAATATATAATTTTTAAAAATAAAATTTTAATACTAAAAATATTTAAAACTAATTTTTATATTTAAAAAATATTTAAAATATAATAAAAAAAATTAAAATTTTAAACAAAAACAAACTAAATATGTCATAAAAAATATATAATTTGTATATAAAAATATTTTAAAATATACAAAAATATTAAAATTAAAATAAAATAAAATAAAATTTTGGCCCGTGAGCCAGCCGGTTCGTGACGAGCTGGTCCGCCACGAGTCCAGCTCATGATGGACTTGCTCGTTTGGCCCGATTTTTTCTGGACTCAAATATTTTGAGTCTAATTTAGAAAAATATGGATCGATTCACGAGCCGGCCCGCCATGTGCGGCTCCTTTTATATCCCTAATTGTTGATACAATAAGGTACGGTGTACGATACCACAACACTGCAAAGAGGAAGGGACGTACGTAGTGGCGACGGACTACGGAGAAGGAGACCGTACGGATTTCATACTCAGCCCCAGAGCGTACGGGCGCATGGCGAGCGCCGGCGCAGAGGAATATCTCTTCTCGTACGGAGTGGTAGACGTGGAGTACAAGCGTATACCTTGCAGATACGGAGGGTACAATCTGGTGTATAAGGTCCACGAACGTAGCCGTAATCCTCACTACTTAGCCATCCTCTTCTTGTACGTCGGTGGCCTCAACGACATCCTAGCCGTTGAAGTTTGGCAGGTATATATATATTATTCTTTTCTATCATTTTTTTTATTTGGAAATTTGGGGTGATTTTTATTTTGGTTAATAACCCAATCAATGCTTAATCGTAACCAAATTGAATTCGTTATGATTTCTTTAAAATCAAATCCAGACCAAACTGAATAAAAAAATAGAAAAACCTAAATTTCGTTAATAAAATGAGTATTTTTATCATAATCAAATCGAATTTAATATAAAATTTGATCGGTTATAGTTTTTATAAAACCGAAATAAATAAACTCGAATATACCCAAACCGAAAACCGAATAAGCCACTCTAGTAGAATTAAATTACTAAATTAGGACAGTATCGTTTTAGATTAATATTTAAAAATGATTTTTTATCCTACGGAAACGGTGGTCGTAAAAAAAAACTTTTTTCTTATATATAATCTAAATATCACTACCTTTATATATATTAAATAATTTTGTATTAACCCGTCAATATATATATATATATATGTATGTATCTATGTATAATGTATTAAATGGTAATCGTTAAGATCTTCACCGCACGTGATATATAGGAGGGAGTCTTTGATGCCAGAGTATGGACTGCACCTCCTTGGTTCACGACTTGCAGACCCCGCCGTACGGTGCGATCACGTTGAGGTTCTTGGTGTACGGAAGTGTCGGAACCACCTGGCTCCAATCGCCAAACGCTATTCCTAGCGATTGGAACGCTGGCTCCACCTACGACTCCAACATTCTGCTCACTTGAATTATGAATCTCCTCTCCCCTATACATACAATATTTCACATATATATATATATTGGTGGTTATAGATATTGGAATAAAAGAATAAATGGTTTTATGACATGGTCTCTGTTATATATACATGTATAATCCTATACAATTATATATCTAGCCAAAAGTGAAGGGTTGAATTCTATATAAAATTTTCACTTGGTTTTCTAATATTGTACTATATATATGTATGTATGTATGTATATATATCGGTGGTTATAGATATTGAAATAAAAGAATAATGGTTTATGATTTGGTCTCTGTTATAGATGAATAATCATATATAATTATATATCTAGCCAAATTCTGAAGGGTTGAATTCTGTATAAAATTGTCACAAGGTTTGCATATTTAGGTGAATATTGAAAATGATTCATAATTAATGGAGTCGCCTATGCCATTTGTGGACTGGACACGTGTACTTTTCTTGTACGGCCCATTAAAGCCATTTACGGATCGGCGGGACTTTTATACAATTTATTATGGGCCTAATTAAAAGCCCATTTAAAATTCCGCCAAAAGTTAAGTGCTGCCGGTGGGGTGGATGAGAAAGAATAAACATGGAAAAAAATTAATATTTAATGGGGAAAAAATAATATTTAATGGAAAAATTTTAAGAAGTCCGAAAAATAATGGAAATATGTAGTTTTGGGTACAAATGTGAAAAAGAAAAAGAAAAAGAAAACGTGTAATCTCTATATATGAAAGGGAAAAATGGATGAAACGGGTAAAGTTGAATATTTGATGGGAAAATAAGATAATAAAGCGTGAACAAATTGAACATTGTTATTTGTGTATTAAAAACAATAAAATAAAATAAAAATGGTAGTTTACAAAATAAATGAAAATCTAGAAAGGAGTAAGTAAATCATGAATGTTTGATGGAAAAATAAGTCAGAAAAAAATAAAATAAAAATGGAATAAAAAAATAAAGATATAGAGGAGAAAAATACTCATTTTTTAAAAAACAAATTAAAATCAAACATACGGAATAAGATCATTACATTCTAAATGATTTTGAATACTTAAAAATAATATATATATATATGTGTAAATAAATAAAACATATATTACAAAAGACGATTTGTATATTTTTTTATTTAAAAAGTTTCATAATAATTAAATGATTGGAACACTTTTAGAAAGACGTACGTGGATTGCGAATTCAAAATCAAATTTAATATAAAATGAAAAGTTTGACATAGAAAACAAAAAAAGATAAGAATGGAGGATAATCAACTTCAAATTCAAGCCCACAATTATTATAGTTTAATTGTAAAAACTTTTCCAATTGACGGGTTAACGCTTTTCTTTCCTAACTGGCGGTGGGTATTCGTTCGTATTCATTATGTATATAATAAACTAGGCACGTTAAAAATTGTCATGCAATTAATAGTATGTTGGATACAATATATATATATATATATATATACAAAAACATGATTATATACAGCGGCGAAGAAGGTAATTTCTGAATTTATATGATCCATATACAAAGACTGCTCTCAGACCGGAGATTTACCTATTCAGCGCGTTCGAAAGATAGTAGATAGGAGTCATCCATTATATAAAAAAAAAAACATGATTATATATATATATATATATAACACTTAGTTTTTATACCGACTGATTATTCCAAATGCATATCCAAACCAAACCTATATATATATATATGTGTGTATTCATGTGGTTATATGAAAAATTGAAGAAAATTTATTAATGTTTTGGACGTGAACAAAACCATATCAAAAGGTGGAAATCCCATTGTTTACACTCATTAATTAGAAGGTGGATATATATATTTCTTGGGCTCTATTTTCTATTTCATCCGATACTATATATCTACTTAATATATACCATAAAATAAATCCAAACCAGTATTTCGAAGAGAAACAAGGACCTTAACGGTACCATGAAATTATAAATAACCCGAGTGTAGATTCGGAGTAGGTTTCAGTCGATATGCGATTCTTGCAAACGGAATTTAGAGAACACAGAGGATTTACGTGTTCAGGTTCCTTTGAACCCTACGTCACGGCCAAGTAAAACCTGGCAAAACCACTAGAACGAGATCGAGAGAAGAACCCGACTGACTCACACAAAAGAAACCTGTGAGCTCAGTCTGTACAAAACTTGAGAGAGAAAACAAGAGAGAGAAAGCTTGAAGAACGCAAAAGAAAAGCCCACCCACCAACGAAGAAGATGACTCGAGTTTATAACAACCCGGGATATCAATTTACTGAATTGACCTTACTTAACGGACTTAAAACCAGACGTCTCTCTCTCGAAACCTTCTGCATAATACAGAGGTTTACCAGATTTGCAGAACACCTTCTACAAACTCCACCTTGTTCTGTAATCTGACATCTCGTTCATCATGATTCTGACATAATCTTACTTGGCATCCTCTGAGTTTCCTACTCAGCAATTTTCAGCAAGCTCAACGCCTCATTGAACTTGCCTACAGGTAATGGTTTTGTGAGTATATCAGCTGGGTTGATTTCTGACTTGATTTTCTGAACTTGAATCTTTCCTTCAGCTACGACATCTCTTAGGAAGTGTAGTCTAACGTCGATGTGCTTGGTCCTCTCATGGTGAGTGCTGCTTTTGGCCAAACATATCGCACTTTGAGAATCACAATGAATTCTTACCTGACGATGTTCGATTCCAAGTTCTTCAACTAGTCCCTTAAGCCACAGAGCTTCCTTGAACGATTCCGCCATTGCCATATATTCTGCCTCCGTTGTTGACAGAGCTACCACATGTTGTAGTGTCGATTTCCAGCTTATAACGTTCCCTCCCAGCGTGAATACATAACCAGTGATAGATCTCCTCCTATCTAAGTCAGTTGCGAAGTCCGAGTCACAATACCCTGTGATTGAAAACTCCTCTGCTTTATCTGTATAGATCAGCTTGAGATCTAAACTCCCTTTGATGTAACGCAATATCCATTTCACCGCAGCCCAGTGATCCTTGTTCGGTCGATTCATGAACCGGCTAACCAAGCTTACACAGTATGCTAAGTCAGGTCTTGATCCTATCATGGCGTACATGAGACTTCCCACTGCATTTAGGTATGGTATAGAGTCTAGATTCAGTGTCTCTTCCGTGTCCCCTGTGGTTTTTAGCTTGAAATGAGCTCCTATCGGGGTTTGTACAGGTTTGGCCTCTGTCATTCCAAAAGTGTTCAATACTTTCTGAAGATAATCTGCTTGTGATAGAGTAAGTGTCCGAGTATCTCGGTTTCTAGCAATGTCAATGCCCAAGATCCGTTTTGCCTTCCCAAGGTCCTTCATGTCGAATTTGGTAGCCAACATAGCTTTAACCTTCTGTACTTCTTCTTGATTCTCTGCAGCCACAAGCATATCATCAACATAAATGAGTAAATAGATATAAGAGTTACCTTTTAACCTTTTGAAGTAGACACAGAGGTCGTGTCTGCTGCGTGTGAATCCTTCTTGTATCATGAAGCTGTCAAACTTCATGTTCCATTGACGAGGTGACTGCTTGAGCCCGTAGAGAGACTTCTTGAGTAGGCAGACTTTTTCGGATTTGCCTTCGACTCTGTACCCTTCTGGTTGGTCCATGTAAATCTGCTCTTCTAAGTCTCCATGGAGGAATGCTGTCTTTACGTCAAGTTGCTCGAGTTCCAGGTTCTTGTAAGCCACCAGAGATAGTAATAGTCTAATGCTGACATGCTTTACCACAGGAGAGTAGATTTCATTGTAATCTGTGCCCTCTCTTTGTGAATAGTCTTTAGCCACCAATCGTGCCTTGAACCGAGGTTTTTCTACTCCTGGTATTCCTGGCTTCCTCTTGTATATCCACCTACAACCTATCACCTTTTGATTACATGGTTTGTTGACCAGTATCCAGGTTCTGTTCTTTTGTAGAGATGCCATTTCTTCATCCATGGCTAGCATCCATTCTTCTTTGTGCTTTGACTGTAAAGCTTGTTGATAGGTTTTAGGTTCATCCAAGTTAACTGTATCAGCTACTGTTAGAGCAAATGAGGCAGTATTTTCTTCTCTGAACCTGAGTGGAGGTTGTATTGATCTACGTTCCCTGTCTCTGGCAAGTTGATACCCTTGTAAGCTGTCATTGTTCCCGGACTGACCAGTTTGGTTTGTACCTTGAGTTTCCACGAGTTCATCACGCTCTTC